GAAGGCAAGAGCAATTACTTCAAGGGCTCGATTCTCGTCCTTACATATCTCGTCGTTGTCATCGGGTTTTATCTATCGGGCTACAGCAACATAGAGACGATGGGTGTTGACCGGTTTGACACGCTTGCTCTCGGTTTAAGCTCATCGGAGAAGTTTTACACTATCGGTCGGGCAACGAATGGCCAAGCCTTTGCGTCTCACTGAGAAACTCTTTCCCACCCTTCGCATGTTATTTTTCATGCTAAATATTTGTGCCGAATCTTGGGAGTGTATTGTGTCGCTTGCAGAGAAGAAAATTGCATTTTACCAGTCTCTTGTCATATCTCTAGCTAGAACTGCTCATCAGTTGGCATCATTTTGCCTTTCCTCTTCCGAAGAAGCCTCACCATGGGTGTTAGCAATGTTTTGTCGAAACATTCTTCACCACGTTTCGTCCTGCCAAATTGGAACCATTTTATTTGACGCAGCCTGCAAATGCCCAACAAGACAAGTCCCCCTTGGAAGCCTCCCCTTCAGTGAGGGAAAATACTTACGGTTTCCACGAGCTCACGGTTCGATCGACGAGAGCCCGGTACTCCTGTTGCTTATAGCATTGTTCAAGAAAAACCTTGTATTTGACGTCGAGCAGTGCCTTCTCCTTCACATCGCTTGTTGGAACGACCTTCCTTCCTGGTTTGCTCATCCGATCCATAATTTCCCAAAGGTCCTCAGTCTTGCCCTCCGGATCAGCACTAGCAGCTTTGGCACCCAGCATCGCTGCTCCATGACACACGGCAGCATGGATATACCGAGGAATAAGTACCGGCATATCGCACGCCGACGCTATTAGTCTAACCAAAATATCATTCTGGCACTGAGAACCAGACATGAAGATTGACGTAATCGTGTGGCCGGCTTTGTTCATGGTTTCCACGATTTGTCTAGTTTGCAGTGCAATGAACTCGAGAGTAGCATAGTAGAACACTGCAAGACCATCGACAGATTTATCACTTGTCAAACCGACGACGGATCCCGTCATGGCAGCATCCGCGATAGGAGAACGGTTTCCCCATAAATCTCCGTAAAAAAACAAATGCCGGCCTAGATAAGAAATGTTAGGGGCTTCCTGCTCGTGGGTCATCTCCTTCAGATGTTCGTTTAGGTATTCATATATATTAGCATTGTAGGACTCGGCGATTGAGGCCGCTTGATTGAATGCTGGATGAGTTTCAATGACATGCTTGAGCAACTCGCCAGTCGCGGATTGGCCGCCCTCGGCCATCCAATATCCCGGCTGAATGGTATCGCGGTACGGCCCCCAAACACCAGGCACAAAGACAGGGTCCTGCGACATCGCAAGGTGGCACGTTGAAGTTCCAGCGACAGCGGCCAAGCGTGAGAAAGCCTGAGTCTTATCATTCTTCGAGACTTCGGAGCTCAATTGCCCGGGCTCCAACTCTACTTTTGCGCCGACTGTACCGATCCAGCCTGCATACGCGTCAATGACACCGCTGCCAATCGCGATCCCTGGCGGAAGCCCCAGTTCGGATGCTGCCTTGTCACATAGAGTTCCCACTAACTCGCCAGCACTGAGATAATCGCCATTCTAGAGCAATGATCCGTTAGTCGCTCACGTCAAGAGAAATTGTCACAGAAGAAACAAGGCTCACCACCCGGTCAACACCGCCCATGCGCTTGAAGTTACCCTCGACTAGGTCACCCAAGCCGATTTCAGTCAAGAAGTCGTCTTGCCAGCCTTTTACACTCCCGTCCACACCGACAGGAACATACCCCTGCTTACAAACCACACTGCAGAAACTCCTTTTCTCGGTTCCTGTGGCGATATGGGTCAACGCGTCTGCCAGGTCGTAGAATTTGCACTGATCGAAGAGCTCTTTCGGCATATTGTTCTTGAGCCATAGAACCTTGGGGATTTCCATCTCGATCGACATTTTGCCGCCCACGTAGCGAAGAATATTGTGGTTCGTGGCATTGATTTTCTCGGTTTCCTCGACGGGACGATGATCCAGCCACAGAATCACATTGCGGTCGGAGTCGAAATTGGGGCCTGTGACTGAAATAGGCTCATCGGTTACATTGGAAAATACGGACAATGAACAAGTCGCATCGAAACCAATGCCTCTCACAGTCTCGGGGTCGATATTATGCTGGCTGATAGCCCGTTGAACAGCCACACAGATACATCTCCAGATATCGTTGGTAGATTGTTCCTGAGCCATATTAGCCTAGTCCTCCGATGGACACAGAGACCACACAAGATGATCGTGGGGGGCGAACATAGTATCCCTGCTGAGGTTGCCAGAGCCCGATGTTTTCAGACGCCAGTCCGACAATGTCCCCTTTATCATCGATGATACATGCACGTGCACTCCCGGTGCCGACATCGATGCCAATATAATGGTCCACATGCACCTGGATTTCATCCCGGTTGTCTCTCGAGGCCTGCCTAGAGCTCTGGCGTGAGGGTCGACGGTATGGCAGGGAGCCCAGAGAAGCCATGGTTGAGATAGATCCGGATCGGACCTGATGTCTCTGATAGAATGATGGTGTAAAATTGAAGTTTTATAAGAACTTCGAAGTATAGAAACGTAGGTCTGATATCGATGGTAGTGGCTTTCTCTACCGAGGGGTTCGAATTGCTTCAAAATAATCGTGGTAAAAAGATATAACAAAATCGCAGGTTTCCTAGGATATAAGGGAAGGAGAGAAGGCAGAGGCAGGTGAAAGAGAGGGGCGTTGGGGGAAGAGATGCGCTGTACAGTATATGCAGTACGAGGGTACAATACTATGGAGTAATGACTTACTGACTTGGAGAGTAAGTTTGGACTTCGTATGACCTACGATGATTTCCCTACGAGCTAGTCTTAAGTGTGAAGGAGTAGCACTGCAGCAGTATATCCTGTACCGTATACAGGACTGAGTACAGTAGCAGCAGGGTTGGGCGAGGATAAATCGCGGGATAAATCGCAGGATAAATAGCGGGACAAAGGGAAGGTACTCAGGTCATTCATTGGAATCCAATGTCATTAGGAGGTTCAATGGTGGTTGGGTCCATAATCACTGGCATGGATCATTCGTTTCCAAGTTGGGAAAAAAAATGCCTGCCTATCTAGGCAATTCTGAATCGTAACAGTTAAGTTACATAGTAGTTCCAATAGTTAAGTTTGATACTTGTGTGAAGATGTGTGCAAAACTACGGAGTACTGTACAGTACATCTGTGTTATATATATCACATACGGTATGGATTGTATGAAGACATCATAACTCACACTGTCGCCGTACCAGGTTCTCCCTGAGCTTGTATCATACTGAATGATACCATACATCTTACACCGTCGCAGTATGACCTCAGCTGTATTAAACACCAATTTACCCCAGGAACGTTAACTAACTTGTTGCTGAACGAGTAACTACTCCGTTCTCCGTAACTACTCTGCCTGGCTAACTGAATTAACCTCCCACCTAACAAGCTCCCTCTCATCAACCTCCTTCCTCCCTATCTTCCCGGTCATCGGAGCTATTTACTTAGATACTCCTTCCCCCCTCCTACAAGTGCATCTTTGCCCACCATGTGGCCGTTTCTATCTCCTATGCTTCTGTCACTATTATACTTTTTTCTTTCCTCAAGCGTGGTCAATTCCTCGCCATCCCCCCAGCTATCATCTGCTGCTGTCTTCTACTGGCCCGCCGCAGCTTCGGGACCTTCTTTCCTGGCCCAGATATCCTACAACTCGACTTCCATGAATTCAGAGTTGGTCTCCTATTCGCCTCCGACCCCTGCTCACGCACACGAGTCGTCGGATTTGATTCGCATCGGTCTCTTCGCAACCAACTCTTCAGGTTCCAAGCACTGGGTTGGGACTGCTACTTCCTGGTCATCGTTCTTTGGAGATGAGGACCACCGCCCTATCCTTCGACTTTACACCAAGTCGCCTTATGAGGACGAATTGTATCACGTTGCTCTAGTATCCTCGACTGCATTCGCTGCTTTCTCGACTCTGGTCAGCCCTCGCGTGGAACTAGTATCGAATGAGGCTGGCCCGCGTCCGCACCTAAATCAACCTGTCATTATCGGCCCGGACGGAAAGAACGCAGACGACGTTGTCGAGAAGACATTCTTCCAGAAGTGGGTCAAGCTCTTACCGATATCTTCTGCACCTTATGTGAACTAACTTGCATCACTCAGGTACTGGTGGATCTTCCTCATCGTCACATTTCTCGCCATGTCTGGTGGAGGGGAATCGCAGTAGTTCCCTAGGCGCCCACGCTCAGTTGCACATTTCGATCAACCACCTACCCGCTCCAGCCGCAATGTGAATCACCCCTACCCCTCAGCTGTCGGAAAATCGCCCCCGTAGGACGTCGTGTGCCTTGTCCATCATATATCCATCACCGCCATGCGCCCCCTCGTCCTCTCCCAACGGGGATGCGTCCCGCAGGCTCTATTCGCATCCTAGCTAGGCAGAGAGTACGATGCCCATATCAGATGTTCCGTAGTGTGTCGTCTGCAGCTCCTGAGTGCGAGCATCGAGCTCGTTGGCTGAGCTGGATTAGGTCCTCGATCGACTAAGAACCTCAGACAAGGTCGCCAATGGGGTCACAGAGTCTAGACACGAAAAGGACAGATTGCAAGCTATGTAGCTCAGATTACTCCTCCAGTCAATGCTTGCCTTAGCCAAGATCTGGCGTCTACAAGCCTGCACAAGACGGTCTTGGCGAGCTTGGTTTCCCCTTTCTTGGTTCGGAGCGACTAGAACACTCTGGAGCCCGTGAGTCCTTTTTTGCTAGGGTTGGGAACGATACCCATGTGCATACATACAAAATAGCTCTACTTAAAGAGGCTTAGCGGGCAGAGAGTGGGCGACGGGTGTTGCATGACACAAGAACCCGAGGCCGTCTCGCGTTGAATACTGGATAGATGTTCCATCAATAGCTCTTAGTTTGTCTTTGTTTGCACTGGAATGTCAGTAAAGATACTGCTCTTAGGATTTGACTATTATCAAATATGCTGAATCAGTCGTCGCCCTCTTCCCCGCGGACCTAAATCCCAGCACATGACGCCCCTATCTGTGATTGCTATCAATCCATCTTCTTCCTCAGAGAAATGCAATTGAAAGCAGACGGCTTCAAGCGACAATACTATTGGTCGTAATTCAATCATGCCGGAATTTTGTGCTTGTGATGCGAGTGGGTAGAATCCGTTGGAATTCTCTTCAATTAGCGCACTTGGCTCAAGAGCCCAAACATAGATTGTTTTCCAGTTGGCGACTGCAAGCCTTGTTCCCTGCCTTGAAGCTGCAACTATGCAACCAAGGGAGTTGGTCGGATGCTGGAATCCCCAGAGGCGTGCAACGACGCTCCAATCAGGCAATCGCCGTCCACGCTCAAGTTGCAAGACATGCTGACAATTCTGTGCGCGACAGAATGTTTCGGATGTCAACAAGCACGCGACGGTCCATTGTTCTTCGCGATGAGTTGCTAAGCCGAAAGCCAAGTATTTCCATTGACAACGAGCGAATCCATCTAGGACCTGAGTTTGATGGGTCCCGAAGAAAGGAACCTCGATTGAGAAAAGAAGGCTAAGGGAGTCTGTGAATTGTACAGGGCAGGAGTTTTCATACAATGTGGGCTGTATGGGAAAGGACGACATGTCAATTCTCTGGAAAGAGCTGTACAACGTCTGAGCGCGATAATAGTAGAGCAACTGGCTGGACTTGTCGTTGAAACGAAGACCTACTACAGAGCTGTTATCGTAAGGAAGAAGACCCCGAGCGAGTCTGCCTTGTAAGCCCCGATGGCCATCAAACCACAGCCTTCTGCTGTTATGGAGGACGCAAGAATTATAGCTAGTTTCTAGGCTATGTCAGCATTGGCAGCCTTGGCTGCAATGACACAGAAAAACCTACCGATTACCCCCGGCCTCATATCGCAGTTGGATTCAGAGGAACAGGTATATAAAACTACCTCGAGGTCACTGGTGTCCTGAGCATTTTGCCAGGAGATTGCGAAAATGCCTCCGCGCGCAGCTGCCAGAGCCAAAGGCTCGTAGTCTGCATGATCAGGGAAAGCACAAATGCGAACAGGGCCGTGGGGAGATTGTATTGAATTTCGAGAGAGATAGACCGTCGTATCAGTCCCAAGCTGCATGGCGTGCCTGACGAACGGATGCCTCGCATGATCATCACTGTCGTTCAGTGAAGGCCTAAAGCGATGGAGTATGTATAATGTATCATCGCCGTCAAAGGCAGTTCTAAGAATTTCAACAGCACCTGGCCGACACCACTGGAGCTCCAAGCGAGCTTGGGGTCGGAGCCCACCCCCTATAACCTGGAAAAGATGGATGCTTTCTTGTTCTCGAAAAACAAGTGCGAGCGTCAGAAACTCCCTAGGGATCAATACAGATGCCTTCACATTAAGGGAGTTGGTCCAGGGCTTAAAAGTGACACAGTCCGCATGAAACTGGGCACCATAAAGTTGATGTGATGCTCGTCTCAAAAGCAGTTGAAATAGCTCTTGGGCATGCATAGAACGGAGGTCTGCGGGTAGAGTCCCCGGAGTTCGTTGTAGGTGGTGCACAAGGACCTCTCGACAATTAGTCGCAATTTCATACATGGTACGACATGACATTGCCGCCTGTAGGAAAGTTGGGGTAGAACAGGATCGAAGAACCCATTGTATGAGCTCCGTAGGAAGGTTCAGAAGCATGGTCACCAAACCTTGAGGGAAGGGAAGGCAGGTAGTAAGCAGACAGGCATTCAAAGTTGTGTTCTACCTGCCCGTAGGTAGCGGGTGAATGGGCGTATGGAAGGAATCAAGCCCCTTGAAGAGGAGAGGATTGATGTTAAATCCCTTTGATTAATCACGGCTGGCGGGTCTGCCTGTTTCCTATAAGGCACCAGAGTCACTTGCTGCCTGGAAGGTATAACAAGAGAAACCCCACTACAACATAACGAAAATATGTTCTGTGCCTCCCCGGAACAATCTCAGAGGCAGCAATCACTGCTCTTTGCCAGGCAGAAACCTCAGTTCAAGATTCTAAGACTCACATTAAAGATTTTAGCCGGTACGGAACTCAGATGCGGAAGCACTAAGGGAGATCAGGCCTTTTAAGGGGTCCATCACGTCCATATCGCAGCCGGCACTTACACCAACTACAGATGCGGTGTAGATATCAGATATATCTTCAATAGAATAATACTTGACTTGAAAGGTCTTGGTTCCATCAAGAGGATAAGGAAGAATATTGCCATGGGTCAATCATTTTTGATTTCAAGTAATATCTTATGTATATCTATAATATTATTTTGATACCCAAGCCACACAGCTTATAAAGTCTCATCATAATCAACTAGAACTAAAGGAAAACAACACCCGAAAATGCTTTCATATACACATATTGACACGGTGACCAAGGTCTAGAATGAAAGCGATTAAGACATCCCAGAAGTATAATAAACACCCACGCCGACATGATTTCAAGAGAAGCCCTTGTGATTTCATCATCCAGTGATGACCAAGAGATACTATAAATTACCTAATCGTACTCTATTCCCCTATGTGTGATACAGCCCATTCCAACACGCTTTCATAGCACAGAACAAACTGTGAAAGATTCTGAACCATGCTGGGTCTTTGTCTGCGGAAGTCGTCCACAGTCTTCTCAATGAGATCCAGACCCTCATCGAGATCCCATTGTTTCTCAGTGAGCCTTGAACTCAGCTCGACCGCTGTGCCTTGACCCCTTCGCCGCTTCAGTATGTCCAGGACAGTATCAACCGTACAGAAAGCGCCGGTACGTCCACACCCGGCACTACAGTGAACCAAAACCGGTCGCTGATCCACTGCGTGTCTCTGGAATGTAATGGGAATAGGACTATTCGTTGTAGTGAGAACCCGATCACAATATTCGATAAGTCTGAGGAGGTGTGTAGGCTGCGACGTTGTTCCAAAGTCAGGCCAGTGTGGGTATTGCAATTGAGTGACTTCTCGCAATGGCTGAAATGGGTATGCTGAATGTGACAAGCCGAAGTGCCTGACAATGATGTATGGATTACCAGGGTCGTCTTTCACGTCTGGCGGTAACTGGCTGCCTTCTAACTCAATATGTGGTGATTCCCGAGAATTTAGGTAGATCAACTTCTGCGAGAAGTTGTTGACCTGGCATTGTCCATACTCCCCTGACTTCCAGTAGGGATGACATTTGACCTGACCCCTTTCGACTTCGGCAGTCAATGAAACAACAAGTCGGACATCCTGTTCCCATATCACTCGCCAAAAGTCCTATGGGCATGATGAGCAGATGTTTCAACCACACTTTCGCCACCGGAGACACGACAAAGAGGAAAGACTGCACATATCGCACTTACATCGAAGGTATCGGGGACTGGGGCCTGGGTGGCGATATAGCATTTACGACTCTTTTCCGCCTTTAAATGGTTCCCATTCACGTAGTCGCAGCCACCAGGAGAGACATTCTGGAGTCTCACTCGGGTATGTTCAAAAGGATAGATGTCGTTATATCTATTCTTCGTTCCTTTCTCAATACCGGCAACGCGGTACCTTTCTGGCGAGGAGTCAATCGCTGCGGACTCGTCGGATTTATTATAAGACAGCGCTCGTTTCATGCGTTCGAGCTCCCTCTTCTCAAGCTTCAAAAACCTCTCGGAGACTTTGCGACCTTTGTCGGAGGCGTCTGACACATCGCGTAGCCAAGCTGGAAGTTGTTGTCTCTTGAGCTCTGTAAGATCAGAAGGGAGTTGTAGAGGTATCTGTCCAACACCATCAACCAGATCCATGTGTTGTCTGATGTTCGCAAAAAAAGGTATCGAAGCATGGGATGACTCGGGAAGAGCACATCCGCCTGCAACAGGAGCTGCCGAAGGGAGATCAATATGCATTCTGGGTGTTTTCTTTGTAGGCGCCCCTGAAGCTTGAAGCTGCTGTAGCTTGATCAAATGAGGGAAGCGAGATGAGAACATTTTGTAGCCCCCGAGCAGAATTCGGGCCTCCCCTCCCCACCCTTCACAGGTGAATTTCTTCAGCACATTAGCCAGCGACCCTGCATCTTTCATGTCACATGTAGCGGCATCAAACACGATTATGTATTGGGATTGCCGCCACCGCGCGAACTTTTTCTTATCATGATCGGCTGTGAAGGTATTCGCTAATTTCTGCGTGTCGAATGAAGGGCGCTTCAACAGTGTTGTCGGTATGCAAAGGTTGAGAGACCCCTCGATGGTCCCTTTCGCGAAATGCGCGTAGGGTCGAACATCTAGAAGCATAATATCACGATTAGATGATTCGAGAAGCGCTGCACATTCATCTAGTGAGATGGAACGCCCGTCCATAGAAGTCATCTGTCCTGAAGGTGCACCAGCACCTGGGACCATTAGGTCTCGGCTCCGTGGATTCTCGTGACCCGTGGATTCTTTCAAGTGGTTGTCGAATGTCAATCCGCTTCTTGAAAGAGTCAGGTTGTTATCGAGGGGTCTGTTGGTTGCAAGGTGAATTCTTGGATAAGAGATTGCAGAATGAGCGTGTGGTCCTGCTTCTCCAATGTTCCCAAAATTGCCCGGATTGTCCACACTAATTGAGAAATGCTCAGGTCCCGAACGTTCCAAGACTGTATTCGAGGGACCAAGTCCGGGAGGTCCATGAGACGAAGGGTGAGTTTCGCAAAAAGAGAAAAATGATGTTGAGTTTGCAGGGTGGTCAAGCTGCAAACTCTGGCACTCTGATGGCCAAGGAGACGTAGGTGACCTTGAGCCTGTCATAGCCGACATGATTCTATATCAAGACAGAGTAACGGTCTGCCTTTCTAGCCGGAAAGTCGAAAGTTCGTGATCAGATATAAACCTGCTTTGCCATCGCGATATTAAATCTAGCCTGGCGAGCAGATTGATAGTCGAGTCTAGCCGAGGAGTGGTGTTGCCTACACCAACCACCCAGACTTGCCAACTAGTTGCTCCACACCATATGACCCAGCGAGCAAATGTACACTTGACTGACGTTGTTGTCTAGAAGTCTGGATTCTTCAAGTACAGAGCCTGGCCTTTAAATGGCGAAGCAGCGGAGCGAAGATCGTTATAGGCGGATGATGCCCACTGGGGTCCAGACGGGCTGGCTGCAAACTCTGGCAAACTCTGGCAGGAGGCGGTAATGTTACGGCTTCGACGGTGAAGATGATTTAAGAAGCCAATAAGCGGGTTGGCGAAGCAGCGTTGAATCAGAAGCTTGAACAGAGGTAACGGAGTTTTCCAAGCTGATATGTCTGCAAAAGGAAGACAAAGCCCATGGGGAGAAGTGGGCAAGAAGGCTGGCAGAAAGGTAAAGGGTAGGTAAATAATTTTGGCTCCTCGCAATCGGGGAATCCCAGGTCTCAGCTAAGGGGGGAGAGAATTGTACGCCCGACTGCAGTTAAGTTCCTAGACCAATGGAATATGAGCAAGGAAAAGTGGGGGAAGACTGTTGGCTGATATCACTGATCCACTGCCATTGTTCGAGCATGAGGGGGGGGCGGTCGGGGGTCAACAGCCGAGCGAATTGTGCGGAAGAGCGAATGGAGGGTAAAGGAAACGGAGGGAACGATGTTGTTCTCGTGGATATGACGTTATAGGGTGGGTGGCAGAGGGTCGGAAGATGGCACGTGTGCAGAAAGACTCGAAACCCATGCGGCGGCGGCCGGTCTGGATCTCCTTGATCTACCAAGAACTCAACTGAAGGGTGGCGATTTTGTCAAAATCCAGCATGTAGCATTTATTGTATGTGAAGCAGGAAAGGGAGAAAGATGTAAAGAGGGCGCAAACAGTCACCACTATCGTTGGTACTTCATTCAAGACATATCTCACGTTTATTGACGAGAGCAGTTCAAGCTTTTCACTATGTATAGAATTCAACAGGGGCACAATGATCTGTACTATACCGTATAGAATACTCGCTACACGCTACTGTGGCTACGTACTGATCACAGCATGGGAAATGAATGAAGAGACCGAGAAGTCAAAAAAAGGAGGGAAGGAGGAACCCACAGCACTAAGCAGCTGTAGTCGACTATAAGAATGAAAATGTTTCGAGTGCGCTGTCAACAATTGTAATGGAAACCTTTGTGTAGCAATGCCGACCATCTTCATCCAAAAAAAAAATGGTCTCTCGCATCAGACGGGCGAGGCAGATTCTTAATTTTGCATGAAAGCGCAGGGTAGTCATGTTCATGAGCGCGTCGCCGCCACATCCATACATACATAGTAAGCAAAAGGAGGCCTCTGCGACTATTTTGAGGATGTCCAAGCTCAATAATAGGGCTGCTTATCGAACCATTTATAAAGATAGACGGGGATGAATATATGATTTCTGTCTCAACTGCGACACCTTGTTAAGCATGATCGCTTACCCGTCGTCGGAGTCTCAAGGTGGGAGGTTCCTAGTGCCCACTGGCCGCGCCTCATTTAGGCCCTTCATTCTGACAAGGCATAGCCGAATCGAGATGTCTATCAATATTGAAGATGTTCTTGGAGGTCAGCGCAATTGATGCTCCGGTACGATCGGCTTTTGTAAGCCGCATCGATCAGAGGGGTACTTGTTGGCACGTCATCGTTAAGCAAACGCATCGAGGGAAGGCAAGAAATGGTTGGCTGGCTTCTCAACATGTTCTAGCCAAGAAAGTACAAGGAATCCGTCCCTTTTCGTGACGAAGTGGGTTTGTGTTGACTGCGGGCTCGATGTAGAATGACTGAGTTCATGGGAATAACAAGCTGCTACCAAAAATGTTGTGATTGCATGGGGGTTCGTGACTCTCTCAAAGCTGAGGTCAGTGGCTTTAAAGCCTGCCATCAGGTTCACCCTTGAAGCGCTGCACACGCTTTTGTTCCCAGTCATCAAGGTCCTTGGCCATAAGCCTCTTGAATGCAAAATCAGCAAGTCATGTACTTTTGCAAGTCTATGTGACATGGAGACGATCACTAACGTAGTATTCTTCCCGTTCGTCTCCAATGATCCTTCTTCGCGGGTTTCGTTTTATGGCTTCCTCGCCGTCCGGCCCCTTGAGACCAAGGTTAAAGGCTTCCTCTTGGCTGAGTTGTTTTACCTTGCGATCGTAACGTTCATATCTCAGAGCGGCAGCCGGTGTCAATGCGAAAGACCCTGCGACTATGATCACGATAAAGGGAAAGCCAAACAGTAGGAATGGATGTCTGGGGAGACGGGATCTATATGCCGCACCGACTCGCTCCCCTAGGGTTGATGAAGCGGTTGTCGCACGCCGAAATTTCTTGGCTTGGAAGACGGGCATTCTGATATTAATCTCAAAATAAGCGATCTTTGGTTATCAATCGAGTCGTCAAGGTAGGAACTCGGAAACGAATTGAGCTCTGGGTAATACATGGACGCTGCGGCAACTGTAAGGCACATACCTAATGCCGTACCATTGACAAATTGTGGGAAGCGCTGGGCGGCTAGAAGTTCCTCGGCGAAACGAAAGTCCGCCAATTCCACCAAGCCTAGCTAGCAATCGCCAGCCAGAAATCTGCTATAAACACAAAGTTGTTGAACTGCAACGGAGCAGAGTAACCAAAGAGGAACGACTTTCCGCCAAAAGAAGAACGCTGGTATGTTGCTCTTAGTTTTGACTGTAGCCAAAATCCCGGGATCTGAAGCTGATGGCCATTTCAGTATCGCGGACTCTACTTCAAAGCTTTTTGCTCCTCCCCTCATAGATTTTACTACGGCAGCGAAGCTCTCTCGATGACATCCACGACCCCAGGCTCCCTATTTGGGGTCGCTGGCGTAGGGGCCGCAACACAGCCAGGAAATCTGTTGCAGAACAACCCAGCAAGTATGCTTGGGAACACCACAACACAAACGCCTTCAGGCGGATCCCTGTTTGCAAAGCAATCGCAGACTCAACCGCAACCCACCCAGAGCTCTTTATTTGGACAAAATGCGACACAGCCCAGTGTAGCGCAAGCAGTGCAGTTGTCTAATCAGACGCAACCCGCTTTCTTTAACAGCTTACTAGAGCGCGGCAAGAAGAGGCCTCTCTCTGCGATCGGTCTGAACAGCAATTTCGACGAGCTGCCCACATTGCAACTGGGTCTCGATGATATCCGCAAAAAGGCGCGAGAGCTTGGTACCAAAGAGTCCAACAATAGACAACAATATGCAGCGAATAGCAAGGCGTAAGCTGTCTCTCCCCTCTATCTCCCCCACCTTTCATTGCATTTCAAATGACATACTCATGGCTCTCAGTCACTACATGCTGGCTGCATCCGGGGTCTCCCCTGGTCACGCGCTACGGGACCTCAAAGCTCTAGATCCGCAGGCTTCTCTATCGGTGACTCCTAAAGAGCAGGAGACGTTCGATCCTGATAATCAAAAGTACCTTAGGAACCTACAGCAGCGTGGTCGTCAAGTCATGATAACGGAAAGTCTTGCCCGCACGCAAAGAGATTTTGACCTGTTTCTGGAAGAGAAACTCGACCTGAATTGGGAAGAACAGCGGCGAAAAATATTTCAACACTTCGGGTTGACACATAAAGACGAAAAAGCTAAGGATGGGAAAAGTGCGTTTGGTCGTTCAGTCCAGAGGACACAGCAGTTCGGTACTGCATCTGCCCATGATCCTGCTTCGGCCTCGCGTCGAAGTGTCTTTGGGCGCTCCGGCTTGGATAAATCGGTCATTGGAATGCCGGGGACTGGAGCGGCGGGTCTTCAGATATTTGAAGATTCAATGGAGCGCAATGATGGTCCGGGTAGTCACTCTTCTGATCTTCGTTTCCTGAGGGAGAAGATGGGGTACTATGCGGAGAAAGTACAGCTGCTGAATTCGGCCAGACTCCAATCTCGGACATTTCCGATTCTATACAACTTCTGTGACGTTGAAATGCGCGCAGGTGGTGACGTGAGTCCGGCGATTCAAATGTCAATCTATTACTGACTTGCGTTAGGTTCCACGGCAAATGCATGATGCGTATAATGCCTTAATCAGTATTGTTGGGGAGTCACCGGAAGCGATGAATATCTCGGCACCTTCCGCATTAAGGGAGCGTCAATTTTCGGCAGACTACTTGAATGAAACGCCAACCTCACGCAAAGCGACTAATCTAAAGAATCGTGTAATCGAGGGTTCACGGTCATACCTCGAAAAGCAATTCTATATTGATGTGGAGGGTGCGATTGCGAAAAATCCCCGAGAAGCACAACTCGGCGGCATCCCAACCGTGGTCAACAAAATTAGGGCTTATATAAGGCTCAGGGCCGCAAGAAGAGACCTAGCCCCTGACGGAACCGAGTTGCAGATGGTCGGCGAGGATTATTGCTGGATTCTTATCTTCTATCTCCTTCGCTGTGGATTCGTCACGGAAGCAGCAGAGTACGTTAGCCAAGATCCAGGTTTCCGCTCCTTAGATCACAAATTTGTGACATATATGACCACCTATGCCCAGAACAGGCGGCTGCCGAGGGACCTGCAACAAAAAATCAACGGAGAGTATCAACAACGTTCGCGAAATGCCCCCGATAACACTGTCGATCCCTATCGCATGGCATGCTACAAGATTATTGGGCGCTGCGATCTCACTCGTAGACGCTTAGACGGCATCAACCAACAAGTGGAAGATTGGATGTGGCTGCAATTCACCCTAGCCAGAGAAGATGATCGCGCGGAGGAGGTTGCAGGTGATGTGTTCGGGCTTGAAGACATCCAGACCGATATCACAGAAATTGGGCAGAAGGTCTTCAGCAAAGGTCAAGACAGCCAGGGTGGTTACGGAACCTTTTTCCTCTTGCAGATTTTAGGAGGCATGTTTGAGCAAGCTATCTCATATCTTGTGTCTTATGCTCCAGTTAGTGCAGTGCACTTTGCCATCGCTTTGGCATACTATGGTCTACTTCGCGTGTCGGATTTCTATACTTCGGGCGAAGGATTGTGTAAGTGGCACACTTTGGAGTGTTATAACTTGCTGGCTCCTTTATTAACGAAGATAGTGTCGTACACTGTCAAACAATACCCACAGATTAATTTCGCCTTTCTCATCACACATTATACGAAGCATTTCCGCACAGCATATGTTGAGGCAGCGATCGATTATTTCTCTTTACTGTGCCTCAATGCCGACTTGCCCGGTTCCTTGGGTAAATCTCAAGCAGCTGTGTGTCACGAGGCTTTGCGAGAATACATTCTGGAAACCAGAGATTTTGCTAAGCTGTTGGGTGATGTACGTTGTGACGGAAGTAGGATCAAAGGTTTGATCGAACAGCGAATCAGCTTGATCCAACTTGTGGACCAAGAAGAGTTCCTGAAGACAATAACCGTACAAGCAGCGGCTATTGCTGACGACAAGGGGCTGACCACTGATGCGGTTCTCTTATACCACCTTGCCGAAGACTACGATCGCGTCATCGAAATCATAAACCGAGCTCTTTCCGATGCTGTCGCTATAGATCTAGGAGGGCCAATGTTGAAGTTGCAACCATTGAGACCCCGGGCTAATTTGCATAGTGATAGTCATGGTTCAACCCAGGGGTCTCCGCTCGAACCCGGGAGTAGTCTCAGTCTAACTGCTGTGGAAGATCCGGTTGTTTTGGCCAAGAACATGATCGGTCTATACAACGCCAATGCTTTATACTACCAACGAATCCGACAAGTCAACCGTGACTCCTGCGGGTTGTTACTTCGGATGATGGAGGCGAAGGCAGAAGTTGAAGCGGGAAACTGGACTCCTGCCCTTGATGTAGGTTTCTTCTATGCTATCAGCCCTCATTCATGGTCGTCGTTGCGCTGACACTAACAAATCGTAGGCTATCAATGACCTTAACCTGCTTCCGCTACGGGCAAGAGGCTCTGTTCCCTACGTACGAAGTGCTGCACAAGCTTTCTCGTCGTTCCCTGCCATAATATCCCACAATGTTGGTCATATCATTATGTGGAGCATCACTTGCATCGGCCACGAACGTGACCGTCTTGGCTCTAGTGCATACGAGAATGAGATCAGACAGGGATTAGCCGACGAGCTGCTTGTCATGGCCAAAGACTTGATGGTATTTTCCGGAATGGTCAAATATAAGCTCCCGCCTAAAGTGTACGAAACACTTGCGCGCGCTGGGGCTGAGATAGGAGCATATTAAGAAGATGCCCTTCTGCCTATGGAATTTCGATTGCAGGCTTCAGGTTCAGTTGCCCTTTGTTCCTAGGCTTGCCGACTCAGAACACCTCGTAGTTTTCAGCTAGGATTAGAGACCCCGAAGATACACATTGACTTCTGATATTGTTTGGTCAGCGTGAGTTACGCATGTCTGCTTTTCCCAGTACGTACGAGTTCAATAGCCAAAAGTAAGCCATGCGCCGGTGCTTTCCCACAATTAAAGCTCAGACGCCAAGACCTAGACCCGCCTCGATCGTTCAAACCCGCTCACTCTCAGCAACCAACCTACCACTAAACTCTCAGTTGGATCCTAGATACCTCGAAAGTGAATGAACGCCAGAGAGGAGTCTGGCAGAATGTCGCATCAGCCTTCATCTTCCACACAACACTAAGCATTCGCAATCCCATCATGGATATATGCTGCATCGCGCGACCTAAAAACATTGCCCTGTGCATACACCCTTCTTCACAACATCTTTAAGACGAGGGTGCAGTGCCCGACATGGGACATGACCATGATGACGCATCTGACACGACCACGAAGTCTACGCTATCCAGCCCCGAGGATGAACCGTTAATTGATGAAGTTTTGGCTCGAGCGAATTATCAAGGGGAAGGGGCCTCAATCACGAATATGGTGACATCCTGTGAAGAGGAAGACCAAAACGGTCAGGAACTCGGCAACGTGTCAGATAGTCTGACTACTGGAAGTCAAGCTGCGTCTGGAGCTGTTGGTGCTAGAAAAAACGGGACCGCTTCGAGCTCCGACGCCCCGGCCTTGCAGAACAGCACGATTTTCCCGTCAAGAGAGATGAGCACCAATTCTGCCGACACACCCACGTCACAAAATTCGGGCTTGCCCAAATGTGACTGTCTTATCAACAACCCCCCCAACATTTCCAGAATTCGACGAGTAATGTTCGAGTGCAAGGATCCTATAGAGATAAGTCTTGAGGAGTTTGAGACTTACTGGCCGTTCATTGATAACGTGTGGGTAAAACAAAGGTCTAATTCCAGCAAAGAGGGACACTGTACTACAGACTACTATATGTGTCGGTTGCGACGTCCAACTCATCGTACATCAGAAACACGGCCTCTGCCCGAAGGAAAACGGCCTCGGAAGAAAAGGGTGCGAGAGGGTGGCATTTGCAATTTCCAGATCAAAGTGGTGAAGTTTGAAGGGGCTTATTCAACTGTGACCATTGCGAGGACTCCGGGAAGTAGCCGTGTGCATTCGCATGACCTCGATTATATCGACAAGGTGAAGCGAAATTCGGGGCTCATGGAGTTTGCACGCAGGGAAGCAGTGAAGGGATATCTACCATCTTCCATCTATACCAAATTCCAAGAAGCACCTGCGAAGCTCGAGGAGTCAGGTGGCAAATTCCTTACGGTGACAGATGTCCGCAATGTTTCAGCAAAGTGGAGAATCCAGAACCCTGAGGTGAAACTCGTACCGCATGATGGTTATGAATACCAAAAAGGCCATGGAATTGTGAGAAAAGGGGGAAGTGAAAGCAACGGCGGCAGTCCGGTTCCATCGAGTACGACCCCGAAGTCATCGCTACCACCAGACACTCTTTCATTTCCTCAATTTTCCTTGGAGTTCCTCGAACCCTATCTCCCGAAGCACGATGAGCGGCGCCCATTTCCTCATGTCACCCTATCTTACGCATCTTCCATGGACTCTAAGATCTCACTTCTTCCAGGCATGCAGACAGTGCTCTCGGGGCCCGAAGCTAAGCTTATGACGCACTATCTGCGATCTCGTCACGATGCTATCTTGATTGGAGTTGGGACGGTCCTTGCTGACAACCCGGGCTTGAATTGTAGATTGGAAGGGGCGGGAGGCTACGGCGGCCTGGGGAGAATGTGGCAACCGCGACCCGTGGTGATTGATCCCACCGGAAGATGGCCCATTCATCCTGAGTGCCGCATGCTTAGGACTGCAGTGGATGGTAAAGGCAAAGCGCCATGGGTTGTGGTATCGCCGGGCGCCCGCATCCACCCCCAGAAACTAGTGATGCTCAAAGGCTATGGGGGCGACTTTCTTCGAATCATGGAATACAATCAGGATTGGCGCCTGCGCTGGGAAGCCATTCTGCGCGCTTTGGCATCCGAGGGTATCAAGAGCGTTATGATTGAGGGCGGAGGAACTGTCTTGAGTGAGCTGTTAAATCCTGAATATGCCGATTTTATTGATTCCATAGTTGTGACTGTCGCCCCCACTTATCTTGGCTCTAGTGGAGTGAGTGTGAGTCCAGACTCTAAGCGCGATGGAGAAGGAAAGCCGAATGCGGCCTTAAATCCCAAGGATGTGAGATGGACGCCATTGGGTCAAAATGTTATCATGTGTGGCAGAATCCGCTCAGAGATTTCCCTCAATTCCCACATTCAGGAATGAGATGACTTTTTCCCCTGCTCTTTCTATCTTTATTTCCCTCTATGCCCCATTCATCTGTCACTCTGGTCCTTCCTTGTTGACATGGTACTGCATCCCTTTGTACGATGCACATAAAGTTGATGTCAATCAAATCACCTTGAGTCCAAGCCTTGAGCTCATAATCATAATTTGATAGCTATTAGTAACATCTTGCAAGTGCATTAGAGGTAGAAGCCATATACAGATATCTGATTAAAAGCCATGTGAGTTATATTTGAGCCCTTATCATAACAAAAGGGTGCATATTTGTCACATGGTCAGAAAAAAAGAGTGTAGCCAAAAACACTACTTACTGTCAGTACTGCTATTTCTTGAAAATAATAAAGTGCCAGAGGTTCCTGGAACAACTTTATAGTTCACTTATCCAACATTTGCATATTGCTGACATGCTTTGTAGATAGAAGACTATAGAAACAAGAAAAGTATAGTTAACTTGCTCTTTCAGACTTTCTTAGTTTACCTGCTAATTATATATTGCTTATATACAGTACTTTAAGTAACATACTTGCTATATAGACTAGTACAATATAGGTTGTTGTTGCTATTATTATTATTATTATTACTATTATTATTGTTGTTGTTATTATTATTATTATTATTATTATTATTATTATTATTATTGTTGTTGTTGTTATTATTATTATTATTATTATTATTGTTATTATTATTATTATTGTTATTATTGTTGTTGTTTTATTAGTATACCAGTATCTGCAATAGGCTGTTGTTCCTTTCAGCTAAAAACAGCAACAATGACACCAGTCACGGGTGGAATACCCCAGTTTCTAAACCCGCCCCCAGCTCCCCCACGGAAAACCATCTCAATTGAACGGGTGTTGTCTGCGATATCCTCCTTAGATACTGAATAGCACGCCAGCCTATCTTTCATTTGATCTAATTGTTTTCATCTGTCTCTCTGTAATACTCGGTATAAACATATCCCCTCCCCTCTCTTTTGTACAGCCCTTTCTATACTGGGTTTAAACCCAACTCGTGGCGGTTTGGTCTGCGATTTCTTAATAATGCCCCCAAAGAAAGTTGCATCTAAGTCTGCTGGCAAAGGCAAGAACATGAAGGCAGCGACTACTGCAGCTGCTACGACGGCCATCAAAGCGAAAGCAATGAGCACAGCTCCAAATACCGCAAACCACTCTATCAATACTAATGACGCAGCCATTGTCAATACCAAGGCTCCAAGGGAGACCAAGCTTAGCAAATCTAGTGGACGTTCTAGCCAAGGAACGACCAGAGCCGTATCCGCGAAGGCTGGAAAGCGAAAAGCTGATATCGACGAAGAGAAACCGACCCGCGAACCGAAAAAGGCTCGTGTAGCCCGACCTCGGGTGCCGAAGTCAAAACCAAAGATCATCATCAACAGTGCTCCCACCATCCGTCTAAATGTCTATGTTTGTGGCGAAGGCAGCTCTGGTGAACTCGGTCTTGGAGCAGGAAAAGCTGCCATCGATGTAAAAAGGCCTCGTCTCAATCCGCATTTGCCAGCAGACCGGGTCGGCGTTGTACAAGTCGCAGTTGGTGGCATGCATTGCGTGGCACTTACGCACGACAACAAAATCCTCACATGGGGTGTCAATGATCAGGGGGCGCTTGGGAGGGATACCACCTGGGAGGGTGGTTACAAGGATGTGAACGAGACTAAAAGCGACTCGGATTCAGACTCTGACGATGACACTGGCCTCAACCCGCACGAGTCGACTCCTACTGCTATCCCTTCTGACGCTTTCCCAGAGGGTACCACTTTTGTGGAAGTCGCTGCTGGCGACAGCTCTAGTTTTGCTCTTACAGATGAAGGTCAGGTCTATGGTTGGGGAACTTTCAGGGTATGTTAGCTCACGCGCCAGCTGCTTAGATTAAGCTGACCATATCAAGAGCAACGATGGGATTCTAGGCTTTGACCCTAATAACAAGGTCCAGGCTACTCCCACACATATCCCCTCGTTGAAAAAGATCAGGCACGTGGTCTGTGGTGATAATCACGTTCTCGCTCTAAACGAGAAAGGCGCCGTATTCTCATGGGGTTGTGGCCAGCAGAACCAGCTAGGCCGCCGTATTATTGAGAGGAATAGGCTAAATGGGCTTCAGCCGCGCGAGTTTGGTCTACCAAAGAATATCGTGCATATTGCTTGTGGCGCTTTCCACTCCTTCGCCGTCCACCAATCCGGCAAAGTCTACGCTTGGGGCCTGAACAGTTTTGGAGAAACCGCTATCAGAGCCGGTGTGGGTGACGAAGATGCTGCTATTGTCCACCCTACCATTGTTGATTCGCTGTCAAACCAAGGTGTCACTCAACTTTGTGGTGGCGCTCACCATTCACTCGCCGTCACTAGAAGCGGCCAGTGCCTCGTTTGGGGACGATTGGACGGCTACCAAACGGGACTGAGGATTGACACACTCTTAGATGAAGCGGTTATGAAGGATGAGCGTGGGCGCCCTCGCATCCTCATAGTACCGACTCCTGTGCCTGGAATTAAGGCCAATGTCGTGGCGGCGGGTTCAGATCACTCAATAGCCATCGATAGCAATGGCCATCCTTGGTCGTGGGGGTTTTCTGCTACTTATCAAACCGGCCAAGGGACACAGGATGACATTGAGGTAGCAACTGTTGTCGAGAACACTGCTATCCGGGGAAAGAGACTGAACTGGGCGGGTGCGGGGGGCCAATTCTCCGTATTCACCGAACCTGTGATGTTATGATCAGCTTCGAATGGGCAGAGCCTTCCACAAGAGCTATAGCTGGTTCGAGCCCGACAGTGCTGATCTTAGCCTGACTTTGTAAACTTGCAATTTTCTGGCTCTCTTCTCTCAAACGGCTGCGTTCAATACTCGAGATCTTGCGCACGGCATGTAGATCGACTCTCCACTTTCTTATTCGGAATTTAGGCTCAATAGCACCATCATCCGTATTATACACGTGTCCTTGGTTTGGAATAACGCCTGTGCGTCTCAAATCTCAGTAATATCTAAAAGTCCGGCTTCGAATGCCAATTAACAGGTAGAACAAAGACCTAGGCGCCATGGTTTCCATCTTCAAATTCTCGTAGAAGGACATCCAACTCATCATCTTCAGGAGTATCATCCGCTACGCGACTTTCCGGTATCTGTTTGTTTGACTCTCGAGTTGGCGCATGTAGCTGTGCCATGTCAAACATTATGTCCCCGCGTTCTGAGTCAGAAATCGTTCCGCCCAATGCTGTGTCAGATGCCTCTGCCGTAGTAGCAGGGTCCATGTCTGCACCGAGATCATCGAGAACTTGCTGGTTTGTTTCAGCCGCCAGCGCTTTCGGCTTCTCTTCATCAATCCACTCCCTTCTCATCGTCTGCAAGCGCTTAGAGTGCCCAAGTTTCTCGATCATGGCCAGACCATCAGCGAATTTGGCACGAGGATATAAATCATCAAGCCATAACTGGTAGAAGTTCAAAAGCCGGGCGACGTCAGAAAACTGTTCCATGAGATTAGCAGTCGGAGAAAAGTGATCTCAATGTTGGTGGTCATAGACCTCGTGCCCTTTGCCCTTCAGTCTCAGCCTCTGCCTGGACGTGCGGCGTAGCTTTGGAATCCCCGAGTGCGAAAGCAATCTAGGCGATGGATAATTAAGCAACTCGGGTTCTAATGAAGTTGTGATCATCGGCCTTACCTGCTCTCATCTAGTTTCGCGAAAAATCGGCGGTGCTTGCTAACCTGGACCTTATCGTCCACCCCTAGAATAGGCTCTGTTGGGTCCTCGTTCTGAGACCCTACAGTGATGTTCGTTTGAGGCTGTTGCCATGCAGCATCAAGGCCGGCGTCATAGTCAAACAAGGAACTGTCATGGCTCGTTAGTGCATCAAGTGGTTCCGTTGAAGTTTCCATATTCCAGGCAATCCTCAACTCTGAAGATGACGGGAAGAAAAACAACACACTCAGTTTGTGGAGTGGCAAGTCAAAAAGGAAAAGCGGCGAAGTTAAGGTGGGCAGAACTAGGTAGATTAAGTTCATGGAAATATGGAGTAAGTTACCGTTTGCCTGCTAGTATAAGCGTGTATGTACAGTGCTTGCAGTGGGCGGCGACGCGGTCTGCAAGCTCGGGACGCGTATGACCAATGAGACAAGTTCTGGGCGATTTACTCATTGTAGACTGATAAATGAATGCAAACCGGCTGAAATTCTCTTGCTACCGGCACTGTATTTGAAATACAAGCCCCGTGGTGATAGTATTCTTATATCAGGGACTATCGGGCATCTGAAGATTAGTACTACTATCAGAATTCTTTGTTAAGTTTTTTAATTCTTATCACTAGAATTATTGGGGTCTATAATGATGTTAATTATCTTATTATGTATGTGTATCAGTTAGTATAATAGATACAAATTTAAAGCCTTCACTATCTTAAATTGTAATGGGCTTAGACCAGTAGTATTAGAATTACAGCCAGTATTAACAGTGATCATCGAGGCTAGCAGTACTGTGGTTGTTGGAATAGAAGCTCTTGTCACTTGATACTTATATTAGGGATTATTAGAATTTTTATAGCTGAAAAACATTGTAATTAGAGTTCTTGCTTAGAGATTTTTTTGTTTTATTCTGGTTATTAGGGCCTTTAGAGTATATACCAATACTATCATACGCTCTTTGGTCAAACTTGCATATCATAGTATTAAGAATAGGAAACCAGGAAAGCTATACTACTTACTTGCAGGGGCTTGGTTCCGGGAGCTTTGTAATCTCAGCTGGTGTTGATAACCATTACTGTGACCTCCCGATATAACGAAATAATAGAGGCGCATGTCCAAATATGTTATATAGAGTTTTTCGTAATATTGATTAGGTGCAAATAAGGATCCATGTAATATTCTCTGTTATTATTGACTAAGCAGACCCTCTCTTTTGACCCATTTATTTCCTATATAAGCAATTTTTAGGCCTTCGATATAGCGAAATTTAAGGATTTTGTATAGGGGAGAAAAGGTGTTGGACCGAAATCCGTAATAAGGCGATCAAGCGAGATTTGTATAGTAAACTAATCAGATTATTATAGGAATTCATTGTATGCTAGGATTACGCTCTAACGCGATTTGTTATATCGGGGAGGTCACAGTATAGACTCAGGCCGTCTTCCAATGTACGAAATATCCTGTACTCCGTAAATACACCATCATTGGTACATTAAGTGCGGTATCCCATGTAGTCCACCGAAGTATATTTTGTGATGACTAAGTCATATGCTAACCGCTAGACTCCAGCAGGTAAGGCGGTGGGCTTGCTTGGCAAGACTCCCTTCGAGTTCCAACTTCATCGCGGCAGAAGCCAATCCCCAAAGCACGATTATTACGCACCTTCTTCTGGCCACGCCAAACGATCATGGCTACCGATCACAAGGCAACGCTTGTCCCCCCAAAGCGGGCCAACACCGACTATCCGGTATGGTTCTAAGAATCTCTGCAAATCAATCCAATGGACAACTAGTACTAATTGATTCTCCATAGCTAATTGACTCCGACCCGTATGGACCCGCCTTCAATCATTGATAATCGCAGAATCTCACACTAGAACTCAGGCATTTGAGACGAGTCGTCGGTTATGCACGACCCTCTGATTATGCTGTAGCAGGTGGACTGGCTGGTGCTTCGCCACTTGCTTTCTGGATCATGGAGAGGGTGAGCCCGTCGCATGTCGGCAGAGGCGGCTTCGCTCCTGTCATGCGACTAGCAACAGCAATTGGTCTCGTTGGAGGTCTACATATCTTCTACCAACGATCTTGCAGTGAGTCCCCTACCGCAGCCGGGGAAAAGTACCATTACGGATGCTAATCTGCCATTGTAGATCGCTTCTATGGTTTCACAGAAAACTCACGGGAAGTCGAAATGGATATGAGAGAAATGGTAGACAAGGTCAAAAAAGGGGAACCCCTGTACGGAACTTCTCAGGTTTCTCCATACTTGCAGGGTGTTGCTGCTAGAAACTCGCGTTATTCTCAGCTTTTCAGCCATGTCATCCCATGGGTCAATATCGTCAACCACGATCAAGTAAGTACATCAATATCCATGCAAGCCTGGTGAACTGGCGGAGACCAGGCATTTCAAAGCTCGGATGCTAATTCTTCAAAAGCATGGCGTCGACACCGCCAAATATTATCAACAAGCGGAACGGGAGCTCGAAGCGGAACGCCTGAAATAGCCGTATCGCTCACTGAGTATCTGGCGGAATGAGTAGTGACAAACATTAGATATGCCCTTGTTTCTTCTGTTACCGCGAAACCTGTTGTATACGTATTTATATTCTAGCGCAATGTGAAACCCTCTTTAACAGCTTGCCTTTATATTGGGTAAATCCAGACAATTGGAGATTTTCGCTGCGGGATACGAAGGAATATAATGAGCTGGTATTCCATACTTCAGATAGACGGGCTCGAAGCTTGACTGCCCGGTATGCTAGTTTCAAAGCTCGTCTTGAGCTCACGGTGTTTCTTAGGCCGAGGCTTGGGAGCTGAGCTGCAGTCAGCGAGACTTAAATGACTGATAATAACCGGACTCGTGCATACCATTTTCATTCTCTTGTATGTAGAAGCGCCGAAGTAGCATTATGGCTTCTTCTCGAAATAGCCCCCCATGTACTGCATATGGTGGGTCTATCGAGATGCTAATGAGCGACCTGTTAGTGGCAAGAAACTATCACGGGGGGTGAAAACGAACTCAGAATGCAGCGAGAGAATGCTGCCGGTCCCCCCGAATCTGTCGTTTCCGCAGCCGAAATAAACGGTACGTATCTGATATTGCCTCAAAGCAGAAGCACACATAACACACGGCTCAACAGTCACATATAGGTCTGTCGAACGAAGAAGCGATCTAGGGTGGTTTTCAAGCATTTGCTCGATCGCGATGAATTCAGCATGTCTTGTGCCCTGTGTTTCATTAGCTAAGATTTTTCGTAGGGTTAATTCAAGCGAAATCTGTAAGAGAAACCATTATCGTAGTTAAATTACATTCCAAGAAACCCAAAACCATGATTAGCGCTATTTAGGCCTACCGCGCCCGGGCATTTACCTACATTCATGGATTTGTTGGTGTCATTCATCCCTGAACCGACGATCTCGTTGTTGTAAACAAGGACGCATCCTACCGGCGTCTCGCCTGTCTCAAGTGCCTTTTCACCCTAGAGAAAAAACAATTAGTTTTCTATTCTTCTATAGCGATATTGGTATCCACAGATACCATTATTAATGCCTGCTTCATAAAGTACGCATGACGTGAGTCCATGCGATCAGGCACTGCCATGATGATTTCCGGGTTGAATGATCGTGAGGCAGTTGACAGAGGAATTGTACTGGAGGAGAACCCAAGGAGAGGAAATTTTTAGCACCTAGAAACTACGGCCGTATCAATTTGCTGGTTTGACTTGCATGCAATTGCAGAGATCGCAACGGTGATGAGATTAGTAAATTTTGTCTTGTTTCAATCGATTCTTATGTAAGTAATTCCAAACTGAGATGCAACGGAGTCATCTCCACAATTTTCAACAGTCTACAAAGTGTACTGTGAGGTAACTACAGCATAGTCCTACCCTCAAAACATGTAATCAGTTATCTTATCTGGACTAAGTGGCGCAGTGCCCCACTTCAAAGTATACACGTACAATAAATAGTACAAGTGCCTCGGGGCCGGGGTAGTAACCATATAGTTACGAGTATGAGGACGTACGAAGTATAGCACATGTAAAAGGACTCGGTCGTCATCCTTCACTTTGGGACTTGCATCAACAGAGAGTATCAGACCTCGAAATGACAGGCCTTAAAACAGGAAGTGCCTAAAACAATTCCGAACTCCAACGAAGGCGAGGTAGTCGGTAGTTCTTGTGGATCAAAATGTGGAAATGTATGGAAATCTACGATTCTGCCCGCCGCCTTATGTGATTATGTGATGATCGGATCGAACCCGGATAATAACCCTCTCCCCCATCCTCCAGAGCTTGTTCGATTCGCCATCACCTGTCAATGCCCAGCTTCCGCATCGCTTAGGATTTTTGAATACACATCCACCATGTGTGGTTGCATCACCAATGGCAACATTTGAGCGCAAATCGTCTCGATTCTCCACATCGAAGACCAGCCGATCGAACGTCGCAGGAACGGTTTCTACGACCCTGGCGGCGCAGCTGGTTCCGCGTCTGTCCTCGCAAGGCGACCAGACGCGTATCCTAACCAAAGAAGCTTTCTCACAACTGCGGCATGAACTTCTTGAAGGCAAATACAGCCAGCTGCTATCCAATGACAGCGTCGCCGATGTAAAAAAGCTTCTTTGCATCGCCCTCAAAGCCGGTCTCGAGCCATGTATCGAGGATCAGGGGCGCCACCGGGAGGCCCTAGCAAACCAGCTCTGGGACTGCCTGGATATTGTACAGGCCGTTGTCGACAAAGCACCTTTGGTTCTCGTTGAGGTTGCAGATCCGGAGATTCTGGGAAAGGATGAACAGGTTCCCCTGTACTCGTGGCTGCTTGTCCGACTCCTGCGAGCGGCAAGTATCTGGGAGATAGACAGACTTAGAGAAAAAGTCAATAGCATCCTCTCGAGCATAACGAGTGTGCCCAATAATCATGCCAGAATCTTCCCTTCTTTCCTTTGTATCTCTTCGTTCTTACGATCATGCACCATGGGTTTGTTCATGCGTCGCATCTGTGTCGGATGTCTGGCTAACCTACTCTAGACCTTCTGTGCTCTCTAGAGGCTTTTCATTCTCAAAGATTATCCAATGAGCATGCGACCAGGTCTCCTGTAGTCAACTTGAAGCAACAATTCTGTATAGACCTTGTGAAACTCCGTCTTCCGCATGGCTCATTCAATAGGACCATCAACTCAGGGTCATTGCTCCAGAGCTTCTTACTCTGTGCTGATATGTTCAAGTCTAACATACACGCATATACTTCATCTGCCGCCCCTTTTGATCGGCATGATAAGATATGGCTTTGGAACGGTTATCAGCGCCTGTGGGACCTGGCCATTTCCTGGCTCCAAAAGACTTTGCCCGCTCCGAAAGAGACAACCACACAAATTTGTGTCCGTGTGATAGCCGCAGCTGGGACTCTCTTCACCGAGGGGAGATGCACAGATCAAGACTTGGAGTTGGTCCACATTGTTCTCCAAAAATTGGCAGATATATTGACCACAGACGACCTAAGGGATTTTCCAGTTGTTCAACTAGAATTGAGCCACCTCTTAAACAGAGTTGTTGACATTTTGAGATGTACAGTGCGTTGCACTAGCATCACGGACAAATCGAATCTGTTGAAGAAGGCAATGACGGAGAGACTTGCATTCTTTCGGTCTTTAGAGCCGCGTCTTCAGGTGACTGAGCACGAATAATCTGTATATGTGTGCATTTGAGGCTAATTGTATAGGTAGACATCGATTGAGAATCTTCTGAGAAGAGCCTTGCCATCAAAAGCGGAGTGTACCACTGTCTCTGAGACTTCTGTCGCTCTCACACAGCACGTAGTGCCAGGGATTGTTCAACCACAAGAGTCACGCACCACTAACCCAGCAGTTGACACCACTGAAAGTGGTAATTCCGTGAAGCGCCGCCGTGTTTCGCATCCTGATGCAACTATAATCAACCGCAGTATGCCGCAAAGGCTTGTGTCTGAATTACTCAAGTTGCTTTGTGATCAAGACTCCAGCGACATCAAGGACCTTGGACCTTCCGTGTCGTAAGTCACACTGCAATAAAATGCTATAACAGATACCTAATCCCGGCTGTAGTGAGTATTTTGGCGAAATTAGTGAGGAGAAAAAATGCGAAGTTCTACACACCCTAGGGCTTTTACCTTGCGCTATGGCTAGAAGCTTGGCACGCATTGACGGCGCTACCTCGAACGATGCATTGCATTGTCGCTTTTGCGACGATGAAAGCAGAAAAGCCCGTTTCGACTCGAACGATCAATGTCTCAGGGCTGACCTACTGGGTGATGTGTTTGCCTCCATATTACCTACGCTGTCCCGCACTGCGCCTTTGAGAATAGCTGCAATATCTGCTTTACGTAGGGTCATCATGCATGCTCCGAACTCTGAATATACGCGGCTCGCCACCTCCGTCTTTGGGGACTTCTATCTACACTCTATGAGGAGCTCTATAAGAGAACTACGAATTATGGCTGGGTATGTACTCTTGGAACTATGCGGCCTAGCGGTGGATGTTGATGATGTTCCTAGTTTTTCAATTACTTCGTTTGTTCAGAGAAAACTGGACCGAGATGTTAGGCACGACAACTTCATAAGAATCTTGGATTGGTTACGCGGGATCGCAGAGAAGAAGGACGTTCATTATCATGAAAGTTGTATCTTGACACTTTGTCGGCTTGCGATGTAAGCCTTCCTTGATTCATCATCTTGCTCATGTTGCTAATAATACTTTCAACTATGAAGGTTCTCCTATGACGAAGAAATGAACATCATTTTGCTGCGCCTTGTTGAATATCTGGGTCACTCGAACCCATTCGTCTGCTCCATCGCATACACTGAAGTATGTGTGCTTCATTGGAAAATTTCCCTTCAGATTAACATTGGACTAACCTCCTTCTAGCTCTCCAGACTGGCGCAAAATCTCTCACTTACTCCCGGTGGCTTGTTTCGACCATTCTGGAGTACCATCTCTGTGACCGTGGTCAAAAGTTTCCAATCTCGCCCTTACATGGCAGAACAGCTGTGCGATCTCCTAGGGATGAAAGTCGATGACTTCTTACGATTAACTGAGGTTTATGTTTTACCTTACCTCGTGCTCACACAGAAACGAGACATCATCGCTAGAGTAGGCGCCACGTACAAAGAAGTCAGAACGCCGTTCGATATATGCTCAGAGAAGAACAATCTCGCCGCTATACTAGCGTTCTTGTTGAGCCAGCCATCATCATTGGACCCGGAAGATAGTATAATGTCCACCCTATCCACAGTGGATGCCGCCTTCGCTGGACGTACCTTAGCCGATCTCTTGAGGGTCGAGCCGATTCTCATCGCATGTGAGATTCTCAAGAACTTGGGGGACTCGAGCGTCAAGAAAGGAGCAAGGGTAGGTGTGCACTCAAGGCTTGCTGGCCATGGTCACTAATTGTATTAAAGTTCCAGCGAGCACTTCATCTCCTCGCCACCCTTGTCCCACGGAAATCTGCCAATGCACAAAAACGAGGCAACTTGATCGGTCACTTCATCGAAGAGCATGTCCTTGGCATCATCACACAATTTGCACATGCCATAAACGATTTTCAAATCAGACAGTCACTCATGGAAAAGAAAAGAAATCTTGCAGCTATTGGAGAGATGATCAAGGTCGCTCGAGGTCACGTCAGTAGTGCTTTGCCGCAGGTCTGCCCTCTGAACCTTCCTTGAGTCATGTTAGTGCAATGTGGCTGACTTAAATTAGATATGTGCATGCTTACGATCCGCACTCGAAATCAAGGATTTGTGCAATCATGCATTCATGGTATGGAGAGTCCTCATTAGCACTCTTCAGGGGGAAGAGGTCGAGCCCCTCATTGATCAGACAATGTCTATAGTGATAAAGTACTGGGACATGTTAACCGAAGAAACACAAAGCCATGCTCACGACTTGGTTGGTTATATCATACACCACCATAGTGATGTGGTACGCGATATTTTCCATACAATGCCCTCTCTTTCTTTGATCCCGAGGCTAGCCAGCCTTGAGGTGGAGATCAGCGAGCTTAGAGGAAAGATGGACGTTCGGAGCCAATTCTTAGCTTTCATTCGTCGCAGCCAAAGTGAAAACGCGGTGGTCATTGAGCAAACTTTGAAGGAGCTCGTTGCCTTTCTTTCTGGCAACGAAGAATTTGTTCATGCCTCGGTGCTTAGTGAGCAACCAGATCCGGTTGTTTCACAGCTGACTCGAGCCTTGCTTGATTGCTGTGTCAAATTTAATGCGAGCTCGGAATCCATCACTATTCTCTCGGCTCGGTGTCTGGGACTAATCGGCTGTCTTGATCCCAATCGAGTAGACACGGTAAAAGAGAAGAAAGATATACTGGTCCTATCGAATTTTGACAGCATGGAGGAGACTTTTGACTTCATTCTGTTCTTCCTGCAGCACGTTCTCGTCGAGGCATTTTTGTCAACATCTAACACGAGAGCCCAAGGATTTCTCGCGTATGCAATGCAAAATATGCTCAGGTTCTGCAACCTTGACTCGGCCGTGATTAACCGGTCTCGAGATGTTCAGGGGGAGGAAAAATATCGACGCTGGATGCAACTGCCTGAGGCTGTTCGCAACATCTTGACTCCATTCCTAACATCAAAGTATACAGTTACGATTGGTGCCATCAACACTAATTGCAAATCTCCTCTCTTTTCTTTGGAATTGACGCATGGCAACTGGCTTCGAAGCTTTGTGCAAGATCTGTTACGAAGTGGGAACGGCGATAATGCACGACTCATATTTAGCGTCTGCAGTCGCATCGTTAAGGGGCAAGATATCTCGATAGCGTCATTCCTTTTGCCATTTGCGGTTCTAAACCGCATAGTTGGCGGAACGGAAAGTGAGAAGCAAGATTTGCAATGCGAACTGGTACATACCTTGTCTTATCCTCTTCCGCAATCGAACAATTATGCATACGAGAACATATTATTATGCAGTCAGGTCAGTTTCCCCTAGATTGCTCACTTCGCAGGCCACTGACTAGCACCTGCCCCAGAGTATCTTTGAGGTTCTGGATTATCTTTCGCGATGGCTACAAGGAAAGAAGAAACAACTCAATAGCTCCAAGCATCACAGCCATTACATTAGTCGTACTCACAAGGAAGCGTCTCGCGAAATGCTACTGGATACGTACGCATCGCAGGTGAAAGCCGTGGAAGCCTTGTTGATTTCAATACCCCCAGAGATCATATCAAGGAGAGCAGTCGAGTGCAAGTCATTCTCACGGGCCCTGTTCCATTGGGAGCAGTACATTCGTCAGTCCAATCGTCAGTCCGGCACACGGCAGCCTTCCGGAACCGAGTCTCTATACCAGCGTCTTCAGGATATCTACAGCCAGATTGATGAACCAGACGGCATTGAAGGAATTTCGTCTAGTCTTCATGCGTTGAACATCGATCAGCAAGTGCTTGAACATCGCAAGGCAGGAAGGTGGGCTACTGCGCAGAGCTGGTATGAGCTACAGGTCCAGAAAGATCCAGACAACGGCGAAGCGCAATGGAATCTGCTTACTTGCCTTAAGGAATCAGGACAGCAAGGTATGCCGTCAATTCACATTTGTTTGCTGCAACTTTCCAGACTCACTCGTGCTGCACAGATGCTATTCTCACCAGATTCGAGGTTCTCACAAGTCCTGTTCTAAGGAGTAAGTTTCTTCCCTTCGCAGTTGAAGCATCTTGGATTACCGGGAACTGGGATCGGCTACACAATTATCTACGACTTGGCTCGCAGGATACGTCGGATTTCAATATCGGGATTGGAATCGCTTTCGACGCACTTCGTCATGATGACAGGGCAAGGTTTGAGCAACTAATCAACGGTCTACGACTGAATGTTGCCAAGTCACTGACAGCCAATTCGGTGACTTCCTTGCAATCATGCCATGACAGTATACACAGGTTGCATGCTTTATGTGAGATCGAGTTCATTGTCAAGATAGGACACGAGCCTTGCATCGAGCAAAGATCACGGTCAGAAGTGCGTGCTGTTTTGGACCGTCGCCTGGACATTTTAGGAGGATATATCTCCGACAAGCAATACCTGCTTGGCCTTCGGAGGGCAACAATGGAATTGACGTATGGACATTTCTCCTGTTTTATGATACTTACGCCGACTGACTATACACTTGAAGGGGCAAATTTTCCGATTCCGAAATAGCAGCTGCTTGGCTGGCTAGTGCCCGTCTTCTCCGGAAAGGCAATTATACCAACCAAGCATATCAGTCGATGCTTCATGCTGCCCGCTTGAAAGACCGAACAGCCACTATCGAACACGCTCGACTTCTGTGGAAAGACGGTCACCATCGGAAAGCGATACAGACGCTTGAAGGTGCAATCATGGCTAATGAATTTTCAACGTCAGGCGATTCCGATTCCGGATCCCTACTACGTGAAAAACACCAGAATATTCTTGCAGCTAGGGTATATCACCTTTATTGAATGATGTAAAGCGTCTAACCCGGGCCACATCTCTCTAGGCCCACTTGCTCCTGGCAAAATGGACGGATCGTGCCGGTCAAACTCAATCGGATGTTATCGTTCAGAGGTTCAGGGAAGCCATAAAACTTCAGCCAAGGTATTTGTCGAAGTTCTCTGTGAGGGACTTATGTTGATTTTAAGTAGGTGGGAGAAAGCACATTATTATCTGGGAAAGCACTACAACAAGATATTGGATTCTGAGAAGGCAAAGCCACTAGGGAAGGAGGCACAGATCTAGTACGTTTGCCCTGTCATGTTCCCAGAGCCTGAAGCAGTTCTATCTTACACGTTCTAGTTTGAGTGGCGAAGTCTCAAAGCTTGTTGTCGATAATTATCTACGATCATTGGCTCATGGAAATAAATATGTTTTTCAATCACTCCCCAAAGTGCTGACGCTGTGGTTGGAACACGCATCTATCGTGGAACAGCCATTTGACCCTAAGCGTGGAGACAATGAGTAAGTCACTTTAGTCTACTTCTTCGTTGTTTCGACAACAACGGCCTTTTGCTTGTCTAGTCACATCAGTTGTTGACATTCCTGAAAAGGGATTTTCAAAAGCATACCCTACAGCAGCGAAAGAGAAGCCTCGAAGACATACATTTGCAGCTAAAGAAGTACATACATCGAGTCCCAGCTGCGTTGGTAGGTCCGGTGACTTCAGTTTGCAGCATAACATACTAACAAATTCAGCTGTTCACAATTCTTCCTCAGGTCCTAGCTCGTATCTGTCATCCGAATGCCACAGTATACGACCTCTTGACAAAGATTGTGGCCAAAGCTGTGAATTCTTTTCCTCAGCAAGGGCTATGGACAGTTCTCGCTGTGGTCAAGTCGTCATCTAGAGACAGAGCCTCGAGAGGTATTAGTTGTCTCCAGAGAATTACAGTATGTCAACATGAAAAATGGGCAGATCCTGAAGGCTAATCGATGCAGGACATGAACAAGAAATCGAAAGCAGAGTCATCCGTGTCTGACATGCGTGCATTGGTTAATCAAGGCCAGAAATTCTCAGATGAGATGTTGAGACTATGCATAGCACGCATCGAAGAGAAGGTATCAAGGGTAAATCTTAGAACTCTTGGTTTCAATCATAAAGTGGCCCCTTGTCGACTTGTCGTGCCTTTTCAGGCAATGTTAACGCCGATCTTACCAGCCAGTCATGATTCAGAATATCTCAAGAGTTTCAGGGCCTTCCCCAGAGAAGCAATCACAATCGAAGGTGCGAAGTCAACGATGACCACAACTTAACGTGCTTGCTGATCATGTATAGCTGTCCTCGATGATGCTCAAATCCTGAATTCACTTCAAAAGCCGCGTCGTATCAGTATTCGAGGGTCTGATGGAAGGATTTACAGTATTCTATGCAAACCTAAGGATGACCTTCGCAAGGACCAACGCCTCATGGAGTTCAATAACATGATCAACAGATTCTTGAAGAGAGACGTCGAATCGAGCAAACGTCGAATGTGTAGGCATTATACTCCCGGACAGCTTTTTCTTCTTCCCTCTTCTGATCTTATGTATTGCTCGACAGACATCAAAACGTATGCGGTGACGCCACTGAACGAGGAGTGTGGACTCATTGAGTGGGTGGATAACCTCCGCACGTTGAGAGAACTTGTCATCAAGCTTTTGAAAGAGAGAGGAATTTCGCCAAATGCAGGTCTCCTACCGCGCACGGGTCGGAAAGCTGAGTGCTAACCCGGCTTCTACTATACAGTACAGCGAGATCAGGCAAAATCTCATTGAAGCCTGCTCAGAGGCTTCGAAACTCGATTTGTTTTCAACCAAGATTCTTGCTAAGTACACGACACGGAAGACAAAATCCCGCTACAGGCTGGTTGGGCTAACAGACAACTAGATTTCCTCCGGTGCTCTATGACTGGTTTGTCGAGATGTTCCCTGAAACGGAAGCATGGTTTGCAGCCAGGATACGTTACACCCGATCCTGCGCTGTTATGTCTATGGTTGGTTATGTCCTAGGGTATGGCACCTAGTTTTCTTAGACTTCCTAGCATTATTCCAGGATGTTGTTCTTAACAGACTTCCAACAGGTTAGGTGACCGTCATGGTGAGAACGTTCTTTTTGAGGAAGGGACAGGGGGGGTACTACATGTTGATTTCAATTGCCTTTTTGACAAGGTGCGTTGGAACTTCCCAGCTATAGTCATGTTCTTCCAAAAGCTAATTCCTTCTCAAGGGCTTGACCTTCGACAAACCTGAGCTAGTACCTTTCCGCTTGACACAGAATATGGTGGATGCGTTTGGCGCCTATGGGTACAATGGTTAGTGGGTTGAGAAATTTGAAAGGCACGAGCTCTGAGATATTGACAAGCATTCAAAACAGGTCCATTTCGCAAAACTTGCGAGATAAGTCTAAGATTGCTTCGCCACAATGAAGATGCACTCATGACTGTCCTGGAGACTTTCCTGCACGATCCGACCACAGATTTCATAGGGAAAAAAGTAAGCGTGCCGAATCCCCAGAAAGAGATTTTGAAATGCTCAGTAATTTATAGCGTCGCACACATGCAAGTGTGCCCGATACACCCGCCGGGGTACTAGAAAATGTTCGCAACAAACTCCGAGGTCTCCTACCGGGGGAATCTATCCCACTTTCCGTCGATGGCCACGTCGATGAATTAATCATACAGGCAACCGATAAGCGAAACCTGGCAGCTATGTATATTGGCTGGTGCTCCTTTATCTAGACAGGACAGACCCGCACCCATATTTGTCATATTATAAGTACCTCGATAGCTATCTCGGTAGATACTTGAATGCACAGGGCCACGGGCCGTTTGACTAGGAAATAATGTCCTATTTTGTTTAGCTATTACTGGTAGGACTGGCCCTTCTGCTTATTTTGCCTGAAAACTTCACTTGGTAAGTTGATGACATTTCGGCTTGGGGACCATCCACAATCTAGTAATGAGTGCAAGTGGTGTGTAGATTGTTCCAACGACGACGGCAAGTTGATTTGGAGTTTACCGTGTGGTATCATGCCGATAACGGCCTTTGGTCTGACTTGGGCTCCGACTTCTCTCACTGCGACTGCTGTAATCATAACTGCTGTAGCTGGGACTGCGACGTCGACGACGAGTGTCCACTCGTGGGTGTGGCATCCGTCCTTTCGATGATGCCGAGGGACTTCTTGAGGAACATGATCGGGAGCAGCGCGGTGATCGAGAGCGCGAAGGAGAGCGTGGCCGGTAGATATCATGCCTATCCATAGGCCGCGAGCGTCGGGCCCTTCGTGGCGGTGTTGACCTTTGCGGGAACGGCGAACGGCGGGAAGCACGACTTTCTAAGGGTGAAGGGCCAAGGCCCTGGCTCTGACGGCCGAAGCTTCCTCTGTTGCCTTGGTTTTGTGGCGGCGGCGAGCGCGAGAACGCACGCCTGGGCAAGACAATGGACACACTTATAACAGCACCGTCTAGCTGCGCTTCGTGCATGTGTGCGATGGCGGCCTCTGCATCAGCAGGATCATGGTAAAGGATGTAGGCAGTGCCTCTATTGGTCATGACTGCGAATGGTTAGCATCCATGGGATTATGACCCGCGGGAGCTCGTCGAATTACAAGCTTTGTTCATGGGCAAATCGAGACTTTGTATCTCGCCGAACCCCCCGAAAATTTCGTGTAAATGTGATTCGGTAACATTTTTGGTGAGCTTTTCTACAACAATCTTTGATGCAGTTAGTGCGTGAACGTGTAGCTAGCCAAGCTTGTGTTCGTGATCAACAAACCTTGGAGCTTCGTGGCAAGGCGAGTGAGGGACTGGGCGACCGGCTGTAACCTTCCCTCCCATATAACCTAGAAGTCTGACTCCGACTCCGACTCCGAGAATGCGTTCGAGATCGAGACCTGCTTGTGAATCGAGTGCCATTGCGCCTGCCGGAAATGCGATCAACAGACGGACTTCGCGTCCCACTCTTGTATCTAGTCTCTGAACGAGGGGATTCAGATCGTCGCGATGATCTAGTGTCTCGATTAAGAGTAGTGTAGCGCGGTGAGCGGTTCGAAGAGTATTCCCGAGGCCTGTCAGACATGCTGTGTTGTCGGGCCTAGATCTGGAAAGTTGAAGTCAGAAGGTTGGCTGGAAGTTTGGCGAGGTACTGGCAAAGAGGGTGGGTGGTGTGGAGCTTCCCGCCTCCAAATGTCATAGAGCCGCGGCGGCCAGTAATCAGACAACGGATTCGCTACTCGGGAATATAGATACGCAGGATCTATTTCGCTTGTGACCTTTATTTTTGAACCAAGCCAGTATTAGATGTGCATTTTCAAGTCTTAATATGAATCAATATCAGACGCATCGTGTATATTTCTAAATATCAGCTGTAGCGTTGCCCCATCGTTCGTACTCCTCCACAACGGCGGCTGTTATTTGCCTGCGAACCTGCTGGAGTGCATATTCGAAATGTTTCATTCGAATGTCCTGCTCCTGTCCGGTCTCCTCTTCCTCATCTAAAGCAGCATCACCGGCTGTCTCGCATATACTAACAATCTCCGCTCCGGAGTATCCTTCCATTTTCCCAGCTAGAGCTTCTATCTCTACTTCGGGATGGACCACAGACTTACTGAACCAGATGCTCAGGATCTCCTTCCGGGCCTCGAAATCTGGAGGCCCTATATAAAGGATATTATCCAGTCGGCCGGGGCGCATCAAGGCCGGGTCAATGACCTCAGGCTTGTTGGTAGCCGCGACGACCAACACATTCCTCAGCTCTTCAATTCCGTCCATCTCGTTCAATAGTGTTGTAAGAACATTGACCCCGCCCTGGGATGAGCTGCCACGCTTCGAGGCTATTGCATCAATTTCATCGAAGAAGACGATGCTAGGTCTTGCGGACCGTGCCTTCCGAAAAATCTCTCGTAGTGCTCTTTCTGACTCTCCAACATACATGCTCAGGATTTCAGCACCCTTGACTGCCAGAAAGTTCAATCCTGCCTCCGTAGCCAGTGCTTTCACAGTCAGCGTCTTGGAGCAACCCGGTGGCCCATATAGCAAGATGCCCTTTTTACTGTTCACATTCAATCTCCGCATTCGTTGTGGGTGCTATTCCGGGGAGTCAGCGCTGTCAAGACATGATTAAGATATGAAAATCTACCTTCAGAGGTCTCTCCACTGCCTTTTGGAGGCGTCTTTTGATCTCATGCTGCCCACCAATGTCCGACCATCTCACTTTAGGGGTTTCCAGAAAGACTTCCCGCATTGCAGTTGGTCGCGTCTCCTGTAGAGCAGAAAGAACATCATCATCCTCGATTTTGAGGGAAGAATCTGCGTCCAAAACTATTTGGCCTGTATTTGAGCCACTGTCAGTGGCACAAATATGTTTCTCCGTCGACTGGCGTTTCCGTGCCTTTCGACAGACCAATTGGAGCAATGCAAATAGATCAGCACCGACATAACCATGCGTTTTTTCCGCTATGAGATCTATTAGCGTGTCACTCAGCGTAGGGGACGGGTTTCCGCATATGGCATGTAAGATTTCACTTCGAGCCTGCGCTGTTGGCACTTGAAGCTCAATCTCAATCGCTAATCGATGGGGGGTCCTTAAAACATCATCAACATCGTTCGGGTGCCGAGTCGCGGCCACAATCAAAACTAGAGCCCCTTTCACCATGTCCAGACACTCGCACACAGCGGCCGTCAATGATTGAGTCTCCACGGTGGTTCTTCTCGGCGCTATATACTCCAGTTGGTCGATGATTATAGCACTTGGTTGACAACGCATTGCCTCCTGAAAAGCATTGCGCAGCTTAGTTTCAGCGTCACCAGAGTTTCTACCAAAGGTAGAGGAGCCAATGTTGAAGGTTTTTCTCCACCCTGCCGCTTGGATTTGGCCCAACAGCGCCGTTTTGCCGGTGCCCTTAGGACCATAGAGCAATATACCTCGGCTATGCTCATAGAACGGAGGCATGGTCAGAGTACTGGCATCCGAGTTGAAATCAGCGAGACTTTCGTTGATACTATCGATCTGTGGCTGCATCCCACCCAAACCAACTGAATGCACTTTCAGATATGCCTCCCTACGACTCACTGGTGCCACGTCCTCACCAATGATGATTTTGCTAGTGCCTGTGAATTTGAGCAAGGTATGATCACCATTTTGACTTTGGCCTGACATGCCAGCCACTTTAAAACTGCGTCTCTGGCCTTTAAGCTCCAGCTCGAAAACAAGACCGATAGCAATTGCATCACATCTCGTCAGAGGGAATTCAAGTGACCATGCCCAGTGGTTTATGTCGCTGGAAGGTATGATGCCAAATTTAGTAATCTTGTCATCATCTGAGCAATCCACTATGGAGACCGTCTGTGCTTCTTCAAGTGGCGCATCAACTTTGCTAATAGTAACTTTTTCGCCAATTTTATATCCGTAGCAATCCTGAAGAGTCCGAGAGGTCTGAACAACGGTATTCTGGATATTCTCGACTGCATTCCAGGCTATAGCATATTTGGAAACTTCTCCAGGGATATAGAGTGCGCAAACATCCCCAGCCCTAAGTTTAAGGGCGGCTAATGAGGAAGATGATAGGTATACGCGAAAGGCATCTCGATGATCGTTTCTGGTCTGTTTTGAGAGCGGTCGAACGGTGAAAGACCGAGTCTCAGACATTGTGTATAATGCGAAGCTTGCAAGTATCGGCCGGACGAAAATGGCTTCTGGTGCAAGGATCCCAATCTTCTGAAAGAAGGCAGACCACGAAGTTGAGGAGGTTTCAATATCAATTAGGTTATGCCCAGCGCTTACTGAATCATTTTTTGGGTGGTCGCGCGTGATGCAATGGTCAAGGAACAAGGAGAGCGAGCACTTCGAATGCGTACCAAGGTCTGACGAGGTTGGGAACCTTTTTAAGAAGCAGAGACTTTGTGGAAGCAGAGACTTTGTGGAGGCGGATAATTGTCAAGAGCTCACTATATTTGCGCCATATCTGTCAAGGAAAGAGCCAGGGTATAGAGATAGGGAGACGGCGTAGACACTTTATGAGCTTAGATTTCTTTTTTTTAGAGGAGCGGGGGATATGCAGGTTGCCCCACTCGCACACACTTCTACCTACGTAGTAGTCTAGCTAAGCACAAAACCAATTGCATTTGTTCGTGTATCGCATTTGCCCGATCCCGAGTCAGGGAAAGTGTCACAAGCAATGTATTCTCGGGTGTGTCTTTTCTTGTAGAGGGCGTTAATCTGACACATATTGGCTTGTGAAACCGCCTGTCAGCACTTATGACTCTAAAACTCGAGGCACAGTACCTTGTCCGCAAATAAGTTGCGAAGGAATCACAAACATCAATCCGAACGCCAACTAGGTCCTGGACTATTTGCAAGTTCCTACTTAGACATTTAATTTGCTCGCATGGATTCTCCGTATGAGTGATCACTTTTGAGCCGTCTTCTACAAGTACCCCACATGAATTGTTCTGTTTTCGGACTTCATGCCGCGATGGACCAAGAGGCTGTTACTGAGATTAGACGGTTTGTCATTCTAAACAAATCATATTCGTCTTGACACCGAGTACGATCGTTGTCCGAGACGCTGTATACCAAAGCAATATGACTGATATAACTACTACCAACAGGTGCCGAAATTCTGAAATGCCGCCCCGAGTACATATCATTACTGTTGATGATGTATGAGTATGATACCCATAACATAGAATGAGCCCCTGTTGATGCCTGTATAGCCCTCAAAGCAGAATATCCAATACACTGTTACCATTCCAAGCACCATTCCCATTATATCAGGAGCCAGAATATGTTGGAGATAGGAGGTATGTCGCGAATCGCTTCCGGGGGAAAGATACCACCATACTATCTATCCAAAGAATGTATCCCTGGGAGTCGGCTACTTTGCTTCATAACAGTTTTAGCGGGCCGATGCCAGGTTCGAGAGCAGTAGTGTAATAGAGCTAAAGTGACGCATTGTTAAACACACGAGGTTTCAAGCAGAAAGAGACAAATTGCAGAAATAACAGTGTTGTACCTTCACTTAGGCGTAAATCTTAGCACCAAGACTTTCATACGACCAGGCTATTTCCTTAGCAACTACTGGAGTGTGAGAGATTTGGTATATTCCATCCATGACACGTGAATCGGCCAGATGTGGGGCAAGGTGCAGGGCCATAGAGGAACAGGAGGGAGAGAACTTGAAGCATTCAGAGGTGGAGAATTGAGATTAGCAACACTTTCCGCTTGTGTTGCCGTTCAAGCCAGAACCTTGCTGGTCTATACTAACGCCCTGAGAGCTGACCTGCTCAGACTTTGATGTGTCCATTCCTTTCTTGATATCTGAAGCAAGATCATAGAAAGCTTTTTCAATGTTGATGTTGTTCTTGGCCGAGACTTCTAGAAATGGAATACCTAGCTCATTCGCTAGCTGCTGGCCTTGCTCGGTCGATACTGCTCGCTTCTCTTCCCAATCACACTTGTTGCCAATAAGTATCTTGTGAACACCTTCACTCGCATGCTGCTCCACATTGGAAAACCATGTGCGGATATCTGATTCAATGAGTTAGATCATTAGCATATCAATCATGCCAGTAATTCCAGGAGTCCTTACTCTGGAACGACCGTTCATCAGTGACATCATAAACAAGGAGAATCCCCATTGCTCCTCTATAGTAAGCTGTTGTAATTGTTCTGAATCGCTCTTGCCCAGCTGTATCCCATATTTGGAGCTTCACGCGCTTGCCATCGAGTTCGATAGTGCGGATCTTGAAATCAATGCCAATAGTGGTAATAAACGACGGAGTGAATGAGTCCTCGCTGAATCGCAGTAGACAGCATGATTTACCGACGCCCGAGTCACCAATCAACAACAGTTTGATCTGAGGATAAATAAGATTAGAAATATGATTCGCTAGAGATGAAACTGCCACCTACCAAAAAGTCGTAATTCCTTGTACCGGCCATTATTGGACTGGCCCTGACTACAGAGGTCCAGCAGAGTCAAGCTTCAAGAAATACCCCAAGTGAAGACTCGTGCTCAGAATTGAGACTGATCCAAGCAAGTGTTGCTTTCTACTCCGTAATTCGCCGCTCAACCCTGCCTCCTCAGTTTCCGTTTCACTGATGACTATTAGTACATCACTTCTCTGGAATTTTCTTTAGAGGTGCAAATACCCTAAACTGGTCCGTGAGAGCTTCTCACACACAGCGCTCAGATGTGACCTCTGTAAGGCCTGGTTTTACCCAAGTGATGATAGTTTGGAGGACTCCGATGATTCAATCGTTTGCCCGGGAGTACGGGGGCTCAGGGGCCGGGACCGGGAGACAAAGGACAGTGGGTTCAAAATCCTTGTGGCTAACGTTACCTCCGATCTCTGGATCGACTCCGAACAGATCCTGAAGAAATGTGGGGTGAAGATTGTGCGTTCTGGAGAATGTATGATATTGAACGATGCCTGTGATAAGATGGCGAGTTTGAGAGTAAGCTAGGGATGCCGATAAGTTGCGTTTACAAAGAAGGCCCAAGGCGGAGTAGAACTCCGTAGATCCACTAGTAATACACAGACCAGTAACACCACAGTATCGAACCGCTTGCCCCCCATACATACACAGGCCCGCCACAAGGATCATCTAAATCAGAAAGAATCCTCAATATCACCCTCCGAGTAGATTGTCCTAATCAATTCGGCGCAAAGCAACAAATATCTAACTAATATTGAAGAATGGAGCTGTCACCTCTGCTATTTAGTACGACAAGCAATGATATGTGTCAGTCCCTATTATTTATAATCAGCTAGAATTGCCAGTGCCTCCTCTCCCTTCCGCTGCCTATTTCATCCATGATATGTATGGTTTTAGAAAGAGCATCCTCAGCTACTGTCTACCCATTGGGTCTGGCCGGTGACGGTCAGACCTTAAGAGTCTATACAACCCAACAATAACTAAGCTGTGGCAATTGTCATTCTCGATGCAGATAGGATGACTTGAGTACCATGTACAGTACCTAGCAGGTTGGTCCAGTCGAATCATCATTGGTTTCTATGGCTGTGTGCTAGCAAGGCACGCTGAAGATAGTCTTACAGCCATCGGGAATAAACCCAACCCATCCGTTCAACAACCTTAATCTGTTTCTCCGCGCTTGTTTTGCCGATGATATCATTAATGTCTTCCTGGAAGGCATGGATGTCAGCGCCTCTAAGCATGGCTCGTGCTTTCTGAAGTAAAATCTCGGTATTGCATATCAGCAGACCGTAGTCTTTGAAGGCTAGGGTTCCGCTGGTCGTCACAGTCGATAAAGTTAGGGTACGGTGAACTTGTCTGGATTGGGCCTCATTAGACTCGTCATCGACTTCGCTAGAATAGCCTACTAACCTCAGTGCGTGCCTTAATTCATGCTGCCGCCGACCAATGCGCAAGCCCTTCCTGCTGCCAAACAAGCCGAAGAGCCATTGAACGGAGGCATACGACACCAATAGACCAGGGGTCAATCCAACGAAACTATGGCTTGTCAATACCGCACCTACTTGTTAAAGTAGGGTAACACTTACCCAAACACCAGCTCCTGGCTTCTCAGCAAAGCATCGATGCCCCCAATAGCAACCTCGACATCCACTTTTGTCTTTTGTATCTGTATCAGGAGGGCTCGTACTAAGTCACCTCGAATAGTCCCAATGAACGGAGTTCGTAAATCCTTCTCATACGCCCTCAACACAGGCGTGAGATCACCTTCCCTGACTTTGTTCATGATCATGTTCATTTCTGCGGATGCGAGAGACTCATCGCTGGGCTCGCGATGGTCTAGGACGAAATCTACCACCATTCTTTCCAAGCTAGCCCGATCTGCCTCAAGACTGTTCTTGCTCATCAACGCGATCTCGCTCTTCTCATCGTGTCTTATTGTACCAACGAGTCGCTTCAGTGGGTCCACGACCCAGTTGTTCCAGAACTCGATTGTTGTGGATCCGATATCTGTGATCCACCCCAGAAGTTCACGTCTTCGAGCCTTGAATATTTCGAGAATTGTACTGGTTGACAAGGTCGCGAGTAAAAATGGGAGCCAGTAACGCACTATGAATGAAGGTCGCCCAAGCCCACTGGTGCTTTTCTGTGTAAGCGCAAGGTACTGTGGAATCAATGTCCGGTTTATTTGGTCGAGTTTTTCAATAACATAGTAAGGTCCCCTAGGACACATGGTTCCGTTAGAATGCATGTGAAGCAACGAGCCCTCTTTCTCGGCAGCCGCGGTAGATTTCAGTTCGAATTCATGAAGTGTGCCACCAGAGGCCAGATGCTGTAGTACTAAACCCAACAAAGTCACACTGTTAATAATCTTACTGCACCATTCATCACTAACAGAGCTGTCACCATGGCTGCCTGTGAGATCGTCATCAAGTTCAATCTGAAGGCATCGTTCCACCAGGATTCCCAGTGCACTGGCATTGATATCTTTCACCATATGCAGCATTTTCCGTTTCTGGCGTACCTCCAACTTGGATGCAAGAAGTGGATGCAGTAATCCTTTTCGCACAGTGGACATTGTCGTAGAGAATACACACCGACGGGCTGAGTGGTAGAAATGATTCCATGCATTTGAGGTACGAATTGCTCGGTTCCATATTCCGGTGGAAGACCAGGCAGAGGATTGGTGTCCAAGATTGTGCCAGAGCCACACAGGGAATGTCTGCGCAGTATAGAGTCCCATGTACCATTGAGATTCCAGAAGACTGTCCCAGTAAGTGAGTTCATCAGTGATGGCGAGGGTGTTCTCCGAAAGCGACTCCAAGACTAATCCAAAGGTCTGAACAGTAGCCCTAGCGGCGACAATCCAAGATAAATCTGTTACGGGAAGAACTGAGGACTGGCCACATACTACCCGAGTCTGGGGACACTCGGAGATCAACCGCGCAATGCGACTGGCGCGCAAAGCCGGCTGTGAACGTGATTCTATAGAAAGCGAGTCCGAGATGCGCTCCAGGGTTTCTATGTCCTCTATTCGGCTAACATCGCTGGCGGTTTCCTGGAGCTCGGCATTTGAGCTCTTCGTGATGCGCTGCTGTAATTTATGAAGCTGTATATCGAGGTTATAGACTATGCTATTGTCAAATAAGCAAAGATCCAGGGCGACTGACAAACAATGGGTACTTACTTATTGACAACGAACATGGTTGGGATTTACTCGAGGCACCGAGGCTCAATCTAAGTCCAGCACTCGTTGCGAGGAGGAAATCCAGGGAACAAAAGTACCCAAGCGTCAGCCAATGGCGTCATATTTAGTAAGCAGGTTATTTTATCTCAGCTTGTCCTTGACTTTACTCATACGTAGTACACGTAATTAACATGATCGGTAAGCGCGAGCGGATCATCCTGTAACCTTCATAGAAATACCCTCTCAAATATATTATCTCCATCATTATATACTCTAAGGGCTTTCTACTTAGTATATAAGATATATAGACTTGAAAGTATTTTGATGCCTGGTTTTATATATATGTAGAGGCTAATCCAAAGGCAATCAGTTATATAGCTTAATACCAATGTCTGCATACTATAGGGTTATAATGAGGTATTTTCTACTTTTCCTAAGCTTACAATGTTTATTCATAGTAGATTAAGAGAGTATCCAGATTCTTCCATATAGGACAGATTGGTTCGATTTATTAGTACTTTGAAAATCATCTCTTATATGGGTTTCCAAGGTGATCCGTTGGCTTGCCTGATCCGTTCGCTTACCGATTACGCTAGACACGTAACGAGTCAACAACTTAGTACTGAAGCGTAAAGACTAGGTACTGGTGGAGATTAAGGAAGGCGAAGTCCTCCTCGTCGCCCGTGCCGCCACAGTACGTACAAACTATGGTAGGAAACTCGCGGCAGCTGCCAGACATGCATCCAGCGCAGACACTCGGAGGAGGAAGTTATTACCATCATCTGGCATTCGGAACGTCCTCCCTTTTCACTGGTCAAGTAGCTGGTAGCTAGATCTACGCGACCTACATGAGTACCTCAGACCTTTTCTAAGTACGGGATGATATACAAATGTGTTGTGTCTGTGACAATTGTGGACATCTCCAGCCGATGGGTCACTCAACGCTTTGGCACTCATCCCTAGCCATATTTCAATTGTACATAGTAAGATAAAATAAACTTACAAACCTACCTTGAAGGTGTAACTACTCATAATAGGGAGTTTCAAATGTAGAATAATTTGACTGATATGAAATTTACTCAAGGCGGTAGGGAAACGAGAGAGTTGGAACCCCGAAGCCAGGGCACCCGGGCACCCACAAGTTATTCATACGTACAACCTTTTCTTTCTGCAAGGCTCTCTCTGCAAGGGGAATTGCAGCAGCCAGCCGCGGGCAGGACAGGTTAGTACCTTAGATCGCACACGGACCACGGCAGCACCAACGGTTTCTCTTCATACAAAGGCGGTGATGATCTAAGGATAAAGAATGGTCAGTATGTTAGATACTGGCCCGTGGTGATTGGAGATCGAACCAAGCCCATTCCCAACCGGGTGGAGCTAACATCGGCCCCAATCGGCTAGGCAGTGGTGCCAGCCTGGAAAGGTCGCGGCCAGGGGGTAGCCGAAGAAATCTCGCCACCCCGGGAACAATACTCCTGATGGCGCAGTTCTTTACCCGGCTTCTCTGAAATACTGGCCCAGTACCTACCAACTACTTTTACAGAGTTCACATCTCTCTCCCCCGGTGTTATCCAGAGGATCTGCCCTCACTTCAAGTTTTCTTCTCTACTCCAATAGCTTTTCATTCGTCCAAACCCTCAACCCCATTGCTTTCCCAATCTCTCGCTCGCCTGCCCCTTATCGAAGGAACCTGGGAAGGAGTAGCTGAAGGGAAGCTGACCACCTGCTTTAAAAATGTGAGCCTTCTTTACGCAATGCCACTCGATTACCTCTAAGATTTGATAGGAATACGACGTCGTTTTCAACCCCAGAAACCTAC